TTTTTTTTTAAATTGTACTTTAAGTTCTAGGGTACATGGGCAGATTGTGCAAGATTGTTATATAGGTATACACATGCCATGGTGGTTTGCTACATCCATCCTGCCGTCACCTACATTAGGTATTTTTCCTGATGTTATCCCTCCCCAATTCCCCAACCCCCAATGGGCCCTGGTGTGTGATGTTCCCCTCCCTGTGTCCATGTGTTCTCATTGTTCAACACCCACTTATGAATGAGAACATGTGGTGTTTGGTTTTCTGTTCTTGTGTTAGTTTGCTGACAATGATGGTTTTCATCTTTATCCATGTCCCTGCAAAGGACACGAACTTTTTTATGGCTGCATAGTATTCCATGGTGTACATGTGCCACGTTTTCTTTATCCAGTGTATCATTGATGGGCATTTGGGTCAGTTCCAAGTCTTTGCTGTTGTAAACAGTGCCGCAGTGATCATATGTATGCATGTATCTTTATAATAGAATGATTTATCATCCTTTGAGTATATACCCAGTAATGTATCCCCTGATATTTTTAAGCAACACATTTGTATTCCTAACAGTGTTTGCCTCAGGTCATATAGATAGGAGTCCACAACCTTGGGTGAGGCCCAGACTCCATTGGTTCTTTTGCTGCCGATAAACCCATCGAGTAATTGAGCCCAGGTGGTAAGTGTGAGTCGGCTCTCATGCCAGCCTCATACAAATGTTCTCATTGATAATGAATGGTTTTACAAAGTATTTTTACCTATGATCTCTTTACAACTACCCAAAGTCCTGTGATGATACCATGACTCCCCTTGGAGACTGATGAGGAAGTTGGGCTTCACACTGAGGCAGAGACTTGCCTGAGGCCGGGATCCCCTCCACATCTGCAGGTGGAACGAGTGAGCTGCCGGGTGGGAGCCGCTCCCACACCACCCCTTCATGCATACTTCTGAGCTCCCAGGGGAGGGAAGTGCAGACAGGCTTTTAGCCCCGATGGCTGAGACCCACAGGGTGACTTGGCTTTGCCAAACCCCAGACCAGGAAACAGGGGCTGTGGGAAGAGCCCAGAGAAGGTGGGGTCGAAGAGGGGACTGCCATCAGCTTGAAGAAGCGTGCTCTGGAGTTGGTGACATTCCACAGCACCTAGGAATTTGAGCCCATCTGCACAAAGCTCTGTGAGGCTGGAGACTCGCTGAGATCACAGAGCGGCAGGAACAGGGAGTGCTGTGGAAAGACAAAAACATTTTGTCCTTGAGCCTTCTCAGTCTGTGCAAGACAGGAAATTCCTCAACTCTCCCGAGGCAGCCAGCTTTCCTGACTGCTGCAGCCTAGCGAGAGAATTGAGATAGATCTATGCATTTCCAATCCTGTGCCCCCAAGCCCAGTCCCTGCGCCTTCTGCCAAAGCCCGTGGCTGCCCTCCGTCAAAGGCTGCGATGCTGAGTCTGGAGAACTGGAGAGCAGCAGGGGCCTGAGAGCCCCATCTTCCAAGGGGACCGTGGAGGGTTACCTGCTCTCACACTCAGGCTCCATGCCCTTCAACGGCACCTGCTTTGGGGGAAGTTTGCCTCCGGCCTCCTGGGCCTTCCCAGCCTCTCCCCATCCAGGTTCCCAGAGGCTGTGCTAGGAGAGTTCCACAGTAGGCCTGATTTCACTTTCAGTGGCAACGGATAAAAATTCAGTGGCCAGTGATGATGAGCATTTTTTCATATGTTTGTTGGCCTCATGTATGTCTTCTTTTGTAAAGTATCTGTTCATTTCTTTTGCCCACTTTTGAATGGGCTTGTTAGTTTTTTTCTTGTAAATCTGTTATAGTTCTTGTAAATTCTGGATATCAGCCCTTTGTCAGATGGGTAAACTGCAAAAATTTTTTCCCATTCTGTTGGTTGCCGATTCACTCTAATGACTGTTTCTTTTGCTGTGCAGAAGCTGTGGAGTTGGATTAGGTCCCATTTGTCTATTTTGACTTTTGTTGTCAATGCTTTTGGTGTTTTGGTCATGAAGTCCTTGACCCAGCAATCCCATTACTGGGTATATATCCAAAGGATTATAAATCGTTCTACTATAAGGACACGTGCACACGAATGTTCATTGCAGCACTGTTTACAATAGCATAGACCTGGAACCAACCCAAATTCCCACCGATGATAGACTGGACAGGGAAAATGTGGCACATATACCCACGGAATATTATGCAGCCATCAAAAACGATGAGTTTGTGTCCTTTGTAGGGACATGGATGAACCTGGAAACAATCATTCTCAGCAAACTGACAGAAGAGCGGAAGATCAAACACCGCATGTTCTCACTCATAGGCAGGTGTTGAACAATGAGAACACCAGGACACAGGGAGGAGAGCACTACACACTGGGGTCAGTTGGGGGAAAATAGGGGAGGGACGGTGAGCGGTGGGGAGCTGGGGAGAGATAGCAAGGGGAGAGATGCCAGATGTAGGTGATGGGGAGGAAGGCAGCAAATCACACTGCCATGTGTGTACCTATGCAACAATCTTGCATGTTCTTCACATGTACCCCAAAACCTAAAATGCAATAAAATAAAAAAATTTAAAAAAATTCAGTGGCAACTTTGGAGTTGAGACCTGCCCAGAAAACATTACATACCCTGGAAATCTCTCCATGGCTCCACTTCCTGAAGAAGGTCTAGTATTTGTGATCCTATGTTAATAACTCAAAATGCCAGCGGCCCTTTCCCTAGAAACTGAGGGTTTAAGTTAGTGATATCCTAACCCTCTCCTTCTCAACAGCTGCAACTGCCAAAAACAAAAACAAAAAAAGCTAAAATGGCATTACTGAAAGTCAGCGGACCAAGGGAAAGACCAGAGGCTGGGCAGCCATGGCTTGTCCTGCACCAGGGCCATCCCCTGTGAGACGCAAACGGCAGGGCCAGCCCCTCCACACCCGCTCCCCTTCAGCTCCTGGGAGGTGGGGGTTCCAAGAATGAGGAAAGGCTGTTTACTCACCCATCTTCACAAGAAACTGGATGGGAGTGAGCAGCCAGCCTTCCACCCTCCTCCTCAACTTGCTGATGCCCTCCCTCTCTCAGAGAAATTGATTTTTTTCTCCCAGATTTTATTGAGGTGTTACGATGTACAATAAACTACATATACTTAACGTGTTTAGTTTGATGTTTTCACATAAGTCCACACTCATGAAACCTTTGCCATGATTTTTTAAAGTGAACTTCTCATTGCCCCCCAAATGTTTCCTCATGCCCCTTTATAATCCAACACCCACATCCCCTGTCCCACGCCACTGCTGACCTGCTTTCTGTCCTTGGACTTTGCATTTTTTAGAATTTCATTGAAATGGAGTCATCTAATATGTACTCTCTCCTTGTCTTGTTTCTTCTGTGTGTGTGTGTGTGTGTGTGTGTGTGTGTGTGTGTGTGTGTCTCCCAGGCTGGAGTGCAGTGGTGTGATCATGGCACACTGCAGCCTCAACCTCCCAGGCTCAAGTGATCCTCCCACCTCAGCCTCCCAAGTAGCTGGGATTACAGCTTGGTCTCTTTCATTCAACATAATTATTGTGAGATTCGTCCCTGTTGCAGTGCCCTCAGTAGTTCATCCTTTCTTGTTGCTGAGTAGTATTCCATTGTGTGGATACATCACAATTTGTTTACTTACTCACCAGTTGATGGACATTTGGGTCATTTCTAGTTTGCAGCTATTGTGAATGAAGCTGCTCTGGAAGTTTTTGTACAAGATTTTGTATGGATATGTGCTTGCGTGTCTCTCGGGAACATACCCAGGAGTAGATGACTAGATCCTAAAGGAAGTATATGTTTAACTTTTTAAGAAACTGCTAAACTGTTTCCAGAAGGTTCTGTGCCACCTGTCATGTGTGAGAGTTGCAAGTTGCTCCACATCCTTGTCAAGACCAATTCTTGGGATGTGATGTCTTTTTATTTTTAGCTGTTCTAATAAGTGTAGTGTCTTTGGCTTTCGTAAGGTGTTTAAAGCCTCCTAGGATGGGAATGGAGCACCATATAATTATAGAAAATGATAAAGAAGCTCTTCAGTTCTGTCTTATGAGAGATACCAACATGTATTGTTAAGTTAAAAAGATGCCAATCATTTTGTATAATGTGTTTTCATTTACTTTTCTAAGAAGAAAATAAATACCTGTTTGCTTCTATATGTTACACATGTAGATCATCTGTGGCAAGATGAACAAGAAACTGAAAATATGTTGCCTCTGAGGAGAGATGCTTGGTGGCTGGGGGATTGGGTGGGAAGGAGACTTTCACACTCTTTGGTACCTTTTGAATTGTGTGCCATGTGAGTGTATCACTTATTTGAAAAATAAATGTTTTAAAAACTCACAAACTCATGCGAGCTCCTTGTTGACTCCTGGCTGTCAGGCAAGAACATAATCATTGCCAAGCTGAGAAATGGGAGGCATCTTGTTCCTAATGATCTCCAGGAACTCCAAACATTCTTTCTCTGTTAGCTGCCAGCTTCTGGTGGGAACCTGAGCATCAGCGCAGTCATGTACCAAGTGGTCATTTAGTCTGTGTTTGTTGAATGAATGCATGAATGTTCACCCCATGTTCTGTTTTCTACCACACAGAAAAGAAAAGTAGCAGGAAGAGTGAGTACCTTCTGCCCGTGGCTCCCAGCAAGCCCACTGCGCCCATCTTCCTGCAGGGCCTCTCTGATCTCAAAGTCATGGATGGAAGCCAGGTCACTATGACAGTCCAAGTGTCAGGTCTGTCTCTGCAGCTCTTTCTCAGGGATTAACATGAAGCTGGTCTCAGTTGTGTTGGGTGTTGTTCCTCGAGGACCTGCTCAGATCATTGATCCACCAGAAAATCAGATGGGACTTTCCGGCAATGGACCCAAAGAAATGGAGACTCTTGTCCTCTCTTTTCTGCCTTCTCTGGATAGGATTTTCTGGATTCATGATTAAATGGTCCAAAGAAAGGCAATGGCCATATAGCTAGAGCAGTGAGAGATTAATTGGAAAATAGAGTGTGGCCAGTGTAGCTGGAAGGTTTTGAAGACAAAACCAAATTATATGAGAACTTCTCAAATCTCGAAAGATGTTCTCAGTTGCTCTATTCAGATTTTAAGGTGAGAGGATAGAGCAGAGGTTCTTCTAAAACAGTCAGGGAAACAAGAGCAAGTGATTAGTATCCTGGTCTGAGATATCACAGTGCTTGCTAGAGGTGAGTGACAGGAGCCCAGAGAAGATCCTGGCACTCAATGGAAAACTCTGGCTGAGGAGCCAGAGTTTTCCATTGAGTGCATAAGTGGTAGTTGGCCACTGATCAGTGCCTCTGACAGTCTGAAGGTTGCTTTCCTGGTTTTTTGGTCCCCCTTGAGCTGCATAAGCAAAAAAGATGGACTGTCAGAGAACCTGTGTACTTGCCCTTTTAGGTATGCTCAGATGGACTCCCTGATCCTGCAGGCCATCCTTTGATGGTCCTAGGCAGAGGGCTGGGTCCCCTCCCCTGTCCACACTCACTGTGCTACACACTGAGTCCTTGAGTTGAAAGAGATTGGAAGTGCTCTGCACCTGCCCTCAAGGTATTTGATGTCTAACCCATGGCAGATATGCCATGCGCTCTCCTGAGCCTCTCCAGGGCCTGGTATCATACAGCCTGCCTCAGTGGCCTCCTTCAGGGCCCTTGCTCCTCTAAAGTAGAGCCTAATGGCTCAGCTCTTACATCAGAGGAAAGCTTCACAGACGCCCATGGTTTTATGCTCCAACAACCCCCTAGAAACTGCTCAGAAAAGTAGACTAGTAAAAACTGAAAATGCTATTCACCAAGAGCCACGTTTGGAAATCGTGCTCAAGCTGGTGCCTCTCTTTACCCTGGGATGACATTTGTGCGATAGCAAAATGAAATGCTACCTGAGGTCTCTTTCTGCTGAAAATTTGCAAGGGAGTTATCATTGCCTAGATCTGGGTGCACCATGTGAAGCAGTGCAGAGCAGAAAACACATTCAGTTTTGACCCAGGAGTCCAGTTACCACTTGGGATTATCAAGCAGCTTGAATTCTGATTTTAAAAACTATTCTTCCTGATGATGAAACCTTTCTGTTTCATCTCTGAAATCATATTTTTGTGTCTGGGTTCTTAGTATTTTCCCCAAATCTTATGTTAAATAATTCTGATGAACATGTATGGAGTGTTTCCTTTGTGCCAGATGCTCTAATCCGCCGTCCTAATGGGCTGCTAAGGAAGGTTCGATTGACTCATTTTGTCCTCCCAAGAAACCCACGAGGTAGATCGTGTTAGCATTCCTATTTTACAGATGGCGAAGGTGAAGCATAGAGAGTTGTTGGAGTGTTTCATACAATATCACTGTATTAAGTGCAGAGTTGCTGCATGGCCAGGGAAGGACCAGTCCTTCCTATTAGGGATAGGACCTATTCCCCTAACCAGTCCCCCTTCCCCTCCTCCTGGTTCAGGGAATCCACCTGCTGAAGTCATCTGGCTACACAACGGGAATGAGATCCAAGAGTCAGAGGACTTCCACTTTGAACAAAGAGGCACTCAGCACAGCCTTTGTATCCAGGAAGTGTTCCCAGAGGACACGGGCACATACACCTGCGAGGCCTGGAACAGCGCTGGAGAGGTCCGCACTGAGGCCGTGCTCACGGTACAAGGTGAGGCTGACCTGCTCGGTGCGAATGGGAAGGAGGTGCGGCTGCAGCCTCTCCAAAAGTGATTTGGAGGCAAGGAAATCACATGAGCCTACTCTGTTCCCACTGTGCTGGGGACCCTCTGGTCTCTCAGTCCCACCCAGCCCCAGAGGCCATCTCCCTGTCCAACACTGCAAGCTCTGGTGGAGTGGGGCTGCCCTTCCCAGCTTTCTCAAGTCCCTGCCTTCTCTGGGTTACTGGTGCCAGGCTGCATAGAGTACTAAGAGGGAAATCTGTAAGACACTTAACAATCTGGCAGCAATAGCTTTTGAGGTAAGTTATGGGCTTAACAGGGTCCTTGCCATTAGATAATATATTTAAGAGGAGAGGCAAGTTAGGCACACATGAAGTGAGTGGCAATCCTTAATCACACACATGGTATGCAGATCATTGGCACCTGGCTCGGTGCCCCTGGGCCTTCTGGGCTACCTCCCCTGACTTTGGATATACAGTCATGTTAATATTATCCTCCGAGAGTGTATACAAGATGGATTTGCAATGAGAAGGATGTGCTGCATTTGTGTGTCCAATCGCAGTGATTTCTGGACAAGCTGTTACTTGGGTGACATGCTATCTTCCCACCCTTCACCACCATGGAGAACTGAGTGAACACTGCCTGCTGAGGGGCCTCCCGGTTTAGCTCTGCCCTTTGCCACTTTCCAGAGCCTCACGATGGCACCCAGCCCTGGTTCATCAGTAAGCCTCGCTCGGTGACAGCCTCCCTGGGCCAGAGTGTCCTCATCTCCTGCGCCATAGCTGGTGACCCCTTTCCTACCGTGCACTGGCTGCGAGATGGCAAAGCCCTCTCCAGAGACACTGGCCACTTCGAGGTGCTTCAGAATGAGGATGTGTTCACCCTGGTTCTAAAGAACGTGCAGCCCTGGCATGCCGGCCGATATGAGATCCTGCTCAAGTGAGTCTCTATGTCCTGCCAGCCTCCCTCAACCCTTCCCTCCAAATTCCTAGCTCCCTTAACCAGGGTCTGAGAAGCTAGCAGCAGCACAAACCCATGTGGGGCTTGGACTTCCAGGTAAAGCAAGTGCAGGCTCGGTGCTGCTCACAAGCTTTTGCTTCTACTTCAGTATAGCAAGTGTCCATTGAGAACCTTCCCTTTTGAGCTCAGTTACCCAGAATCCTCTGTCTTGTTACATCCTTGTTCCCCTGTTATGTGGCTTATGGTGAGTATGAAGGAAGGAGGAATGGATTAAAGTTGGAAAAGCAGGGGGATAGAGGGAATGCGTGTGTTACCTATTGCTGTGTAACAAATTACCCTGAAACTTAGCAGCTTGAAACATTTATCATCTCCCAGCTGGGAATTTGGAAGCAGCTTAGCTGGATGATTTTGAAGTTGCAGTCAAGCCGTCAGCAGGGGCTTCCGTCTCTGAAGGCTTGACTGACATTGGAGGACCCGCTTCCAAGTTTCACTCCCATCACTGTGGCAGGAGGGCTCAGCTCCTCACTGGCTGTTGGGGGGGGCCCTCGGCTCCTCACTGGCTATTGGCTGCAGGTAGGTGGACTCAGCTCCTCACTGGCTGTTGGAGGGGCCCTCGGCTCCTCACTGGCTTTTGGGGGGGGTGGGCTCGGCTCCTCACTGGTTATTGGTTGGAAGTGGGGGGACTCAGCTCCTCACTGGCTGTTGGAGGGGCCCTCGGCTCCTCACTGGCTGTTAGTGGGAGGACTCAGCTCCTTGCCCTGTACCTCTCCGTGGGGCTGCTCTAGTGTCTTTACCGCATGGTCGCTGACTTCCCCAGAGCTAGTGATCCAAGAGGGAGCCCAGCTCGGAGCTTGCGGTGTCTTCTAAGACCTACTCTTGCAAGCCACACACCATCACTTCTGACTTTGTTAGAGTGAGTCACTAAGTACAGCCCATTCTCAAGGGGAGGTAAATTCAGTTCCACCTCTTAGAAGAATTTGCAGACATTTTTAAACCACCACAGCAAGTTAACTTTTCAATGGGGAAAGTATTAGTTTTTTCTCACCTTTTCAGGTGACACAGGAAGGTCAGCTCCATGAAGCACACTGCTACATTCCCAGGCCTAGAACAGTGTCTAGCCCATAGTCCACATTTGGTAGCTATTTATTAAAGGAATGTGCTTCAGAAATGCTCTTTTACCTTGAAAATGCTGTCTCTTAAAATTCTATGCCAACCCTGGACTGATGGAGACAGGATGCCTTCTGTGGGTCCTGGGGTTGATGTAAGCATCGAAGAAGAGCATTTGTCTGCCCCTCACCTATTCTACAAATAGGAGGTCGTGTCACACCCTGAGGATGGTTAGAGCTGTCCTGGCCTGGGTGCCTGACCACTTTGCAAGGGGCTTTCTCTCCTTTACTTTACCATCTCCCCATACTGAGCCCTTTATGTTCACGGCTCTGAGCTACAAATAGGCCCTAGAGCTAAATGCCAAGGCTGCTGTAAAAGCTGATACATACCCCATCCCCTTAGGTCCTTTGTGACCATGTGCTTTATGCTTGTATCAGTTATCTTTTGCTGCATAACAAACCACCCAAATTCTTAATAACAATTAAAAATAGCTAGTTGATTTTTTTTTAAGCAGTTTTATTATTTCTTAGGAATCTTTGGGTCTCCTAGAAAGTTCTGCTGATTTAGGCAAGGCTAATCTCAGCTGAGCTGAATGACATGCCTATTGTGGTCAGCTGATGGGATGCTTTTGAGCTGCTGGTCACCCTACTATTATTAGCAGTATGCTCAGAACACATCAACTGCCTTTGCCTTGTGCTTGAACTGGTTATTACTCCAAAATGGAGAGAAGGTGCATGCTTACTCCTTAAGTCAGTACAAAGAAAAAACTGGTGATGTGCAAAAATACCTGGTGATGATCTTGTCTGTATAGAAGGAGTAGCACGTTGAGATAATTCTTATGTTACTCAAGCCTGACATCCTATAGACGAATCCCACAACCAGCTGTGGATTGTGGGATTTTGATGGGAAAGGAAGGCTGAGTCTTGGCCAATGTGATAAGGCTTAACTGTTGAGTAGGCCAAGCAAGAAAGGGTGGGGTCGGGGCAGAGCCAAGCAAAAGGCTGTGGGAAGTTTGCCAGGCCAGAGAGGAGGCGTGCACCAGGAGGTCAGTAGGCAGACTGTCTGGGGCCAGCTGGGGACAGTCATAAAATTTAGACTGTCCCAGCTGGAAGGAGCTTCAGAAGTTATCTAGCCTCATCATCATTTAATAATGGGGGAAACTGAGGTCTCAGGGTCATGGACTTGCTCGTGGCCACCCAAAGGCAAGTAACAGAGCCCAAGTTCAAGTCCTCATTTTTTGACTTAAATCAGATGCTCTTCCATCCCTTATGGCTGTGTGTGGGGAGTTTCTCTCAAGTGCACGGGGAACTGGAAGGACCTGGGAAACCACACTAGATCCTCCACCTGTGCAGCCTTTGCCTCTTTTTCTTCCCCAAAGTCCAGCCTCTTCCTTCCTTTGGGAAGCCACTGCCTTGGCCTTAGCTTTGTCCCCAACTGAGAAGCAGCAAATCAGTGGAGAGTTTCCTGAGAGTATGTGGCAGGCCTGCCAGAGACCTTGCTCCTCCAGCAGCATAGACCCAGGGCAGGGTGCCTTTCGAGGGAAACGACTGGATGGCTGGGAGGAAGATGGGGGTCCGGTGGGCAGATCCTGCCTGTCCCTGCTAGGGTTGTAAGGGAAACCAAAAGGGTAAATGACAAAAATCTCAAAATTCCAGCTGTAATACTTGAAAAAATTGATATTTGCTAGGAAATTAGTTCTTTAAACCGATTTTTACATATAAAACCCATCTAAGAGGTAAATGATTCAGGGTAGGACAGGATCCAAGGCTTTGTAACCAAAGAGCAGATCTCTTATTCAGGGCTTAGTAAGCAGAGGCAAAAGGACGGTGTTTGTGAAAGGTTCAGCATATAGGATGACAGCCCCGTATGCTCTGTGACAGTTCCTGGGATGGGGCCTAATCTTCAGCCCCAGCCCTGATTTTGTAACTGGGTGTGTGCAGATGTCAAAGATAGCCCCAAGACCCTGTTCCAGCAGCTTAGGTGATCTGACATGTGGGTCCCAGGCAGAAGGCCACTATGAACTTTATAGGCTGCAGATGAACCCATGGTTTGCCTTAAAGGCCCAGCAGAGATTTAAGTGTGTGGCTCTAGGAACAGTTACCACTAGATCACCCCTGCCACCGGATGATCCACTTAATAGGTCAGCCTTGGTATCCCAAGTCCTCCACCTTCTTCTGACCCCTTAGACTGATGGATGCCACAGGGTAAGGCCCGGAGTGGATTGGGCAGGAGCCCTCCGGAGACTTATCTGAGTCTGCGATCCCCACCTGGAGCACAGGTCATGGAAAGTGACAGAAGCCCCTACCTGCCCTTACAATGGGGAGAGATGGCTTACTCCAGCTTGGGGAACAGGGCTGGCTACCGCCAAAACCTCTGAGGAGTCCAGCTGGGGTAGAGCAGCCATCTGGGCAGTGTCTGCTCCTGATGTTTGCATCTGGGCTGTGTTCTACTGGTGATAGGACGAAACTCCACTGAGGAGATGCTGAAAGGGCTGCCAGGCAAACACAGCCCTTGGGCTCTCATCTTCCTGCTCCATGTCAACCCAGGCACTACAAGGCTGTACTTAAAAGTAGGAAAAGAGTGGCCTGACACTGGCCAGCAGCCTGGCAGAAGCAGGGTGACCTCACATGGTTATTTTGCAAGCTCACTCATAGTCCATAAGCATTTTTGTGTTGAGAGCCCGGGATGCACTGAGGACCTCTTAGTCTTCCCAAGGCCTGGCACCCATGAGGTTTCTAATTGCTGTTTGTTGAGCAAAGGAACATCCTGAACTCAAAATTCTCCAGACATAAGATTCCCTCTGCCTTGAATCTGTGCCCTCTGAGAGCCTGAGTGTTGAGGAGCGTGGCTGGGAGAGGACAGACTGTGGGAGGCATGGCCGGGGAGGAGAGGGAAGTGAAAGAGCTGAGGCAGCCAGGAAGGCACCTGCACCAGCACAGCCTGGGACGGCATGAGGGAGCTGGGGAAAAGGACAAAGGAGGGGAGCCCAGCGGGTGAGAGGAGACCTGGACAATAGCAACAATTGACTTCTCCTTGCTTTAAATGAATGCCAGTACCCAACGGTGGGCAGCACCCCAGAGCCCCTGAGAATCCTATGCCAAGCCATGGGCTGCCAGTGTCCATCCACTGGGAGGGAGGCCAGGAAGAGTGAGCAGGAGACCCACACATGCCAGCAGAATGTACAAGAATGCATGCTCAGATGCTTGTCCACACAGGTATAACTCATATGTGCACATATTCCCAAACATGGACCTGCAGGTACAGGTGCCTACCAGCTAGACCAGTGTATGTGTGCATCATGTGAATGGTTGATATATACATATGTGTGTGGACACACGAATATCCCAGACCAGATTTGTACTGATAAGCACAGTAGGGTGGGGTGCAAAGGTCATAGGGTCACAGGTCCCAACTCCTCCCCCCACTAGCAAGCTCTGTGAGTTTAGGCAAATTATTTAAACTTGACCTTTAGTATTATTATTTTTTAATAGAGATGGGGTTTTCCTGTGTTTCCCAGACTGGTGTCAAACTCGTGAGCTCAAGCAGTCCTCCCACTTCAGCCTCCCAAAGTGTTGGGATTACAGGCGTGAGCCACTGCGCCTGGCCTACTTCACCTTTATAAGACTCTTTTTTTTTTTTTTACCTTACAAAAACAGTGCAAACTCTAATGTCACAGAGCTGTCCTAAGATTAAATGAGATGGCTCATGTAAAGAATCTGTCGCAGAGCTTGGCACATCTGCTGTTGGGTCTGAGTGCTAGTGAGACAGCACTTCCAGGGGCATGAGTGGGAGCTCTGTTGTCAGAGACCCTGAGGGTCCCACCCCAGGGCCCCTTTCCTTATCTTTAAAATTGGGCATGGCAGTACTCTATACCTCTCTGACATGCTGTGGATATCAAGAAAGAACTGGGGGTGGGCGTCATGGAAGCTGGAGGGCACTGTGTGAAATGCAGGTGTTATAACCATCACAAGTTGCCTCTGGCTCTCAGACCTGCCCCCACCCCTTCCCCTTGCCTGAGCAGAATCTTCTTGGCTGGTCAGAGCTCAGAAATGCCAGCAGGTGGCAGCCTTATGGGGTTGGAGGGACGATCTGCTGCAAATCCACTGTGCTGCAGCCAGACAGGGGGCCTGAGCTTCTGTGCACCAGCAGGAGACTGAGCGGGTTTATGGACATGAAGAATCCAGAGCCCTCCCAACCTGAAGGAAGAAGAGAAAGGGCCACTCATGTGGGAAAACACTTGTTAGGTTTTTAACACAGAAAGTTCTGATCTGAGAGCATTATTAATGAGTGGGTGTTGAGGGTGCTTCCATTCCTGTGCAGGAGAGGGAAAAGAACTACCTCTGTGTTAAGAGAGCATGGAGTCAGTCAAGGTCACTGGGAAGGGCTACCACCAGAGCCTGTCTGTCTAGACCTAGCTGCTCCATCACAGTCCCCAGCAGGATTAGCCTTTCTCCTTCTCCTTTATTGGTTGGTTGGTTGGTTGATTATATTATATACTTACAGAAAAGTGTTCCTACTTCTGGATGCCTGCCTTATCGGTTGTCCAAAGATTCTTTTTTCTTCTTCTTCTTTTTAAATAAGAACCGAGAAAATAAAGCGTGACCACAGAGTGAGAGGGTCCTGCCCTAAATCTAAGTCTGGGGTGAATGTCGCAGCCAAGCTGGCGACTTCCATCTTCCCTGGTGGCCAGCAGCCTGTGATCAAGTCCACACTGAACAGGGCCTTTGCCCAGAGTACCTCTTGATCTTTATTGGTCTTTGGAATTCCTTAGGAACCGGGTTGGCGAATGCAGTTGCCAGGTGTCACTAATGCTACAGAACAGTCCTGCCAAAGCTCTCCCGAGGTGAGTGCCCCCAGGAGCTGCCCCACCTGGCTGTGCCCCCAACCCCACCTTCCTCCTGGCCCTCACAGCCCTAGCCCAGCAGCCCTAGATTGTTTGTGTCCTGCAGATGAGGCTGCCAAAGCCAGAAGGGAGAGATTGGAAAGGGAATGAGGGAGGGAGAACAGGGGAAGGAGGGGGTGATTTTTTTTTTGTACACACCCTTATAAGGCTACTGAAGTCATTACCGATGCAATAAACCAACTAAGCAAGCGAGCGCCTCTCACCAATGTTCCCTTCTATAAACACAGCCTGGCTGCGGCCACCCCTCCCCTCCCGTTCCCCTCTACCCTCCCAGCCTCAGGGATTTGCTCTCCCCTGACGTTCCTTTCTTACCCAGCCCCTTTTCCTCCTGCTACTTTCCTTTTTCCCTTCACTGGCTGCAGGGGGAGGGAGCCTGCCAGCTGTGAGGGCCTCTGTGGTGGAGGAGTTGGTGCTGATAGTGGTGGTGGTGACCACTATGGGACCCTGAGGCCTGGCTGGCCAGCAAGAGGGCAAGGTTGGCCAGAGGAGGAAGACGGCGAGGACGTGCGAGGGGTGCTGAAGAGGCGTGTGGAGACGAGGCAGCACACTGAGGAGGCGATCCGCCAGCAGGAGGTGGAGCAGCTGGACTTCCGAGACCTCCTGGGGAAGAAGGTGAATACCAAGACCCTATCGGAAGACGACCTGAAGGAGATCCCAGCCGAGCAGATGGATTTCCGTGCCAACCTGCAGCGGCAAGTGAAGCCAAAGACTGTGTCCGAGGAAGAGAGGAAGGTGCACAGTCCCCAGCAGGTCGATTTCCGCTCCGTCCTGGCCAAGAAGGGGACTCCCAAGGCCCCTGTGCCTGAGAAGGTGCCACCACCAAAATCTGCCACCCCGGATTTTCGCTCAGTGCTGGGTGGCAAGAAGAAATTACCAGCAGAGAATGGTGGCAGCAGTGCTGAGACCTTAAATGCCAAGGCAGTGGAAAGTTCCAAGCCCCTGAGCAACGCACAGCCCTCAGGGCCCTTGAAACCCATGGGCAGTGCCAAGCCTGCTGAGACCCCAAAGCCTACGGGCAGTGCCAAGCCTGCCGAGACCCCGAAGCCCACAGGCAATGCCAAGCCTGCTGAGACCCCAAAGCCCACAGGCAATGCCATGCCTGCTGAGACCCCAAAGCCCATGGGCAATGCCATGCCTTCTGAGACCGCAAAGCCCACGGGCAATGCCAAGCCTGATGAGACTCTGACATCCACTAGCAAAGAAGAACTCAAGAAAGATGTTAAGAATGATGTGAACTGCAAGAGAGGGCACATAGGGACCACAGATAATGAAAAAAGATCAGAGAGCCAGGGGACAGCCCCAGCCTTCCAGAAGAAGCTGCAAGATGCTCGTGTGGCAGAGGGCGAGAAGCTGCTGCTCCAGTGCCAGGTGTCTTCTGACCCCCCAGCCACCATCACCTGGACGCTGAATGGAAAGACCCTCAAGACCACCAAGTTCATCATCCTCTCCCAAGAAGGTAAATGAGTGTGGGGATTGGGGAAGAAGGGGCCTCTGTACGAGGGCCACTGCTAGCTCGTGGAGCCTTGGTCTCACTGCCCCTGTTAGCAGCCCGTACCCTGGGTGGGAGTGCCGGGCCCCTGTCTCCTGCTCACTCAAGAATAGGTCCCCTACTCAGGGTCCCTGGGTACATACACCATGGCTGGGGCTAAGGGCTGGGATCCTGGTCTTTGTGGCACATGCCCACATCTTGGTGTCTGTCTGGCAGAGACCTCTCATGGCACACCCATCTGTGGCTCCCCAGAGGAGACCTGAGCCTGAATTGATTCCCAGGTCCGGCACGGAGAGGGTTCTGTTCACAGGCTTGGAGGTGGGGGACAGGGAGGCTGGAGCCAGGAGGACCTCTGAGTCAGGAACTGTTTAGAGCAGCGTCTTGGGTTTGGGGAAGGGTGTACAGTGATCAGGTGGCACGGAGCTCTGAGTTGGGGTCAACAATAACTTAAGTCTTGATAGCATGGTGGGTTTGAAGGGATCTGTGGGGAAAGCCAAAATCCTAAAACAGCCCCTACAGCACACACACATGGGCAGACAGAGCTGCTCGCTTCCTAATTTGGATGAGACTTTTGTTTGCTGGTATTTCACATTCTTGGATGGTGGGGGAGAGGAGGGGGGCCCCAGATCCTTCCATCTGTGCGGACTTTTGGGGTCTGGAGTTTTCAGATGGGTCAGTTTATACTTGAAGAAGAGATGAGGGTGACACAGGAGTATTTTCTCTGGACCCTCGATTTGGTTTGAAGTGCTTTTGTAAATCCCAAGTCTGGGTGGGAGCTCCAAAGCCGGCCAACCTCCACACCCCACTCTGGCGGCCAGCGGAGGGATAGGTTGCCAGGGCAGAATAGAGTCCTGCCTGAGCTGATGCTGGTGGCTCTAGCCAGGGCAGGGTACAAAGAAGCTCCCAGGAAGTGACATTTCACCCTTGAGGGGCAGAGGGCAGCCACAGAAGAGGCTGGAGTGGACAGGTCTGGTCAAATCCAAGTCAGCTGAGGCATCAGAGTGCTCTCCCCGTGGGCAGCTCCCCTCACTGTCCCCTGGAGCACTCTCCACTCCCTCCCTCACCTTCTAACGCTGCCTGCCTTCCCCTCACAAGAGGGAATGGAGCATTTGAAGATGGCAGAATCCCTCTCAGCTCCCAGTAAGGGTCTGTCTTCCCTCTCCATCTTGGACAGCACATCTGGAGCCGCTGAGCATGTTGAATCTCAGTGCTGAAGGAGTGAAGGGGATATTGGCTGGCAGAGAGAAAAGTGTGTTAGTTTCTGCTAATGTGTTGATGCAGTAACTTTTCCATGTGGATGTCCTCAGATTGGCAGGGTCCTCCAGAAGTCAAATCCTCCATCCCCCACCTCTGCTGGCTCAGCCCCCCTCCCCTGAGGCATGGGGATTATTGCGCTGGGGTGAGATGTCCAGAGGAGTGGATGCCACAGCCTGTCCTGCTACCCATGTGGGGCTCTCCCACTTGGAAAGCTCTTGGTAAAACTGATCAGAAACCTTGACTGGGAGCATTTCCCAGGTCGCCCTGTGGTGATCTCTTGGAGCAGGATGCAGGGTGGCATCCACCATCCTCAGGACATGTGCAGCCACACAGGCCTGCACAATGGGAGGTCTGTGGCTGCTCCGGCCTCAGGAAAACTGAGGTTAAGTCCGCTGGGGCAGTTGCTCTTGGGCTTGCATGGGGTTTAAACCCAGAGCCATCAACAGCTACTTACAAACAATTCACTCAACTAAGCGATGCAAGGAAGACCCCAGGCCTGGTCTCAGAAACCCTTCTGAGCCATCGGTCTTCTTGCGCCCTGAGTGCCTGGAGTATGTTTTCCCTGCTGGCCCCTGAGTGGTAAAGAGCCTAGCGATATTAGCCACTCCAGCCTCCCTTCCCATGGAAACAGTCCCAGAGGGAGCAGTTCAGATCCAGAGCAGCAGCAGAAGAGATGATCCAAGAAAGGCTGCATACAGAGAGGAGAGTGACCAGGAACTGTGGGAAGGCATTCCAGATCACACTGTTAAGACAGCTTCTAAATATTTTAAATTTTTGTTTAAAGAATAGCTGACATCTGTTGAACACTACATGCTAGACACTATCTTAGGCATCTTAAACTTTTCACCCATTTAATCCTCCCAACGACCACTATACTGTCCACCTAACAGAGAAGTTACATACCTTGCTAAATGGAAGATACTGGGGGTCACAGAGCTAGGATTTGAAGTCAGGTGGCTGAGTTGCCTTGCCTAGACCACTGTGCTATATGACCTCTTAGTTAATTCCTATTATTCTATGAGAATACTGGTGGCAGCTGAGAACTTGTCTATCAACAGAAGATACTAATGACTGTTTACTCCTCGATCTTGTTAACAATTGTCCAAAGGTTGAAACACTGACGGTGCCACCAGCCTTGCCAGGTTTCTGGTATTTTCCCTGCAGTGGTGGAAGCAGACCTTGAAATGAGCCTGTCTTGCTTCCATACAGGAGAGTGTGTTGTCTCAAAAATTAGCCCCACCTTCTGTCTCCTCACTCACCATGACTTCAAGAGCGTGGTGTATTGTTAAGGGGAAAGCTTATCATAAGGCCTTGTCTATCAGTCACCACTGGAGCAGGTCCCTCCTCAGGGATTAGAGCAATCTGAGAGATGGAATGGGTCTTCTTCTCTCAATAGATCTGGAAAGAGAAGACACACTTACAGTGGTAAAACTGTTAGAGCCAAGTGCTGACAAGTGCTTTGAGTGTGTCGGGAGGAGCTGCTGCAAGTGGGAAGAGAGGGAGCTGAGTGCTGGACTTTGATCTAAGCCCTGAAGGCAGGCCAGAGGGGATGGGCTTCCAGGCGGGGCGGGGAGGGGGGCCACAGCAGCAGAGGCATCCTACTAACAGCTTGTTCTGGGCTGGAGAGGACGGCATGGCCCCAGTTTCATCCTATCTCCTGCCAAGGAACTCCAGTCTTAAGGCAAAAGGAAATCATGCAAGATTTTGGAATGACAAGCACTGTACATGAAGCTCAGTTTAGAGGTTTTAGTGGAGTCTGTGCGCAGAAGAGAAATACAGAGCCCACTGAAGAGGTCAGGGAAGAAGAAAGCGAAGCCTAGACTAGCATAGCAGCCAGGACCACAGACAGGGAATGACCAGTTCGAGAAGCAAGGACAGAAGTAATAGCATCTGTTGCCTGGCTGAGAAGGGCAGGATAAGGGTTGGGGGTAGGTAAAGAAGATGAAGAAATAGAAGACCACTAAGTGTGGGTGTCTGAGTGGCTGGGGTCACAGTGGTAGTGTCAGTGGGAATAAAGAAGCTGGTGGTTGGAGGGGGTTCATAGGGGAAGGTGAGGGAGTGACTTGCTGGCCAACCATCCTGCATCCTTCACACGCAGCTCGTCAGCTCGGCATCTGCCCTGCCCCCAGCTTCCTGGCTTGCAGCCCTTCTTGCTCCGCTGCACTGATCCCCATCCTGTCAGCTCTGCTACAAACAAGATTCACTTCCTTTAGGAGGCCTTCCTGTTGTCACTCACCTTTGGCCACGAGATTCTTGTAACTGTCCCCTCCCCATCAACCTGTGTATCTGCGTGCACCGACTGCTAGTGGTAGCTCTGTTTATAGGGGACTTCTCCGATGTCTGTAGCTTAGATAGGGCTCGTAGCCCACAGACCCCCCCAAACGGGATTACATCACCCCATTTAGTAAACCCCCTTTCATGCTGAGGAGAGCAGAAGTGGTATGGCAGTCATGGGCTGGAGGTGACCTCTAGTTTATTCTTGGCAGGACACAGACACATGGAGGTCTCCTTCCTCTTCCTTCACCCCTAAAGCTGCGGGGCTGATGGCGTTCAGCGTTACTACCAGCTGGGCCTGCTCTCTGCCACGGGCAGCTAGGCCCCCAAGTCTTTCCCCAGCCCTTCCTGCACCTGCCTCTGCTGAGGGGTGGGAGGCGGATGGCCCCAGGAGCTGAGGGGAGCTCTGTCGTGGCCTGAGAAGGACTTTATCATTATGCTTTTTTTCCTGTCTCCAGGCCAGGCTCCTCCCCCTGACAAAACTTTTCCCAGTCTAACAATGAGGATTCATTTTTGTTGCTGTTGTGAATAGGTAATTCATTTTTAATTGCCTTCAGGGTAGAATTTTGCAAAGGCTTTTTAAAAACCCGTGTAAGTTTATCCTAAGAAAAGTGGATTTATGCAGCATGTATGATGAGCGTGACATTATTCTAGCCCCTTTCGTTGTGTGCATAATCCACTTGAAGAACTATGAATTTTCTTTTTTCTGAAACTATATATTATCTTTTTCAACAGGAAGTTATATTTGATTAAGTGTTTGTGACCTTTTCATACATAGATCCTAGCAGATCACCTGCTGCAGAAATATGCCTTCATCCGTCTCAGAATGACAAATATGTTTTACTGTGACTGCATTCCAGGCTCAGGAAAAACACTGGTGATAGACAGGGTCACTGCCCTCTGAGAGCTGGTGTGGGATGAGGCATGCAAGTCAGCAATGGCCCTGTGATCCAGGCTTTGACATGGAAGAACTAAGAGTTGGGAGCACAGAAGAGGTCTGCCGAGGCCTGGAGGCTTATGGGGAACAAGGAGGGCACCATGCCTGCGGGGGTGACCTGGAGATGTGTGGTACTGTCTGGGCTTGCCAGGTGGGCTGGGTCAGGCTGACTGAGGCAGCCCTGTAGCAGAACCTCCAGGAAGCTCCCTCCCTCCATCCACATCCCCTTCCTCCCCTCTGCCCCCAACTCAGAAAAGGAGAGCTGGGGGAGCTTCAGACCCAGGAGCGCTTACTCCGCCACAGCCCTGAGGGGCTCTCCCAGGCAGAGCTCTGCAGTACTGCTGACCTCTCCCATCCCCCTCATCTCCCTCTCAAAACTCCCCGCCAGGATGAGGCTTCTCAAAAAAAACCTCTGGGAAACAGTTTTTCTTCTGGAGGTCAAGAATGAACTGTCCCACAGGAAATACCAGATTCTTCAGCTGGGGTAGCCAAGCCTGCAAGCCTGCCACGGGGGGCTCCCCAAGCCCATGCACATGGCCAGGGGTCCCGGCTCTGGGCAGGTTGGAAAAGCTGCCTGCCCTGTGCCTTGCCCTGGCAGAGGGGCGGGGGCCGGGTCCACATGCCCCACTGCTCTCTGTGCACTGTCTTTGCAGCATGTATCATTTTGACTTAAGGCTCAAGGCAGCTGAGGGACTGAAACTGAAAGAAAATCAAGGATTTGAACAGGATGTGTGTTGGGGGTGGGATATCTGTTCCCAAGGCCTTAGCCCCACCCTGACTTGAGGGAAAATTTCGAGATGGGATTGGTCTCCGCTAAGCCTCTGAGCCCTCTAGTTGGGGATAGAGATCATCTCGGTGTTCTCCTGCCCACCCAGATGAATGGAAAGTTCTCTCTCCAGGACATGGTTATGCTCATTCTTTATTACTGCACGTCAGAATTCTTACTCTTATGACCAACTTCCTAAAAATCCAGCCTAAATCCTCTCCATTACGGTTTCTGCAAATTCTGTCTCCCAACCACAAAGGGAAGAGAACGGAGGGAAGTCCTCTCGAGGGTTGGGGTCTATACAAGGTTATGGGAGGTTGGGAGTGCAGTGCAGATCAGCCCTCATGCCCCAGGTGGTTTAGAGGATGAAGGATTCTCTGTTTAAAGCATTACCCAGGTGGCAGGGAGTAAAGGGGAATATTACACCCTTACTTCCTCTTCCAGCCTTAGTGAGGTTTTCTGGGCAGAACTGATGTCATCCTTCCTCTTTCTAATCTTGTATTTGCTGGTCAAGGCTGTGTATTTGTGTAATGGGGGACAGGGACAGTAGTTGGTGTCCACCCAGAATTCACCCAGCTCTTCCCTCCCAGTGCCAGCAGCTTGTGGGAGGTGAGGTGGAAGCTCCAGGTGGCAGGTTGCACGTGGCCCTGGCTCTGTCCTCCTGTGTGATGGCTGCAGCCCTGACAACAGGGGAGCTTTGAGCAGGATGCCCTGCTGTTGGTTTGTCTGTGCATCTGAAGCAAGAACTAGGGACTGCTGCCCTTCTGCCTGGTCCAGCAGGCCTCTCTCCACACCCTGAGGGAACCTCCCCAAGAGGGGCCCCAGAGGAGAAGTAATCAGCCCTGGGATGAGAGAGCTGGGATGGGCCAGGACTAGACCCCAGATTCCTGTGTGTGTGCCTAGCTGACACCTCCTTCCCCAAACCAGGCCACAGATAGGTCTGGGGATGAAGGCAGCCCCAAGAAGACCATCCCTACTTCTCTGTGGGGCAACCAGAAGACCCAACTCTGAAGGGAAGCAGCCCCAGAAGGACCCTCTGCAGGCCCAGTGCCCCTCATTGGCCATGGTTCTACAGCTCAGGCACCCTTCCTAAAAAGTCAGCTCCTGGGGCCCTGGCTGTAGTCACTGCCTCCCAACAGATCTTCCAACAGGCCTGTGTCTCTCCTGGACAAGGGCTCCTAACCTCCTCCACCTACTTCTTTGCTCAAAGCTGCCTTTTCCAGCATGCAGTCACAGCATCACTGCTGTAAGCAGAGCGGGTCTCCCTCACCTGTCGCTGTTCCTAACACAGGTCTGTAACCCTGTGCCAGACTCCTTTTCTCTCTTGGTGACATCCAGAGTGAGGGCCTGTGTGCATCTCCTTCTGTTGTATTGGATGGTCTCCAAACACAGAGGCTATTTCTCTCCCTTCTTTTGCAGCTTTCTATTATGTCCCCACAACAGGACTCTTTGGAGTGGGGGAGGAGGTATCAGGAAAGAACATATCTAGGAATCAGTTATTTTGGACATGGGTTATAAGCAGAAAGTGCCCTTGCTTTGGTGAGGAGAGGGGGTTGATTCCCACAGGGCTTCTGGCTTCTGGGCTCCCAGAGGCTGCCCATGTGAGTAACACTCATCTGCTGTGCTCCAGATGCCAGGGCAGGTACTAGGACCACACCTGGTTCACTCAACAATGCTTCTTCCTCCCCAGGCTCACTCTGCTCCATCTCCATCGAGAAGGCACTGCCTGAGGACAGAGGCTTATACAAGTGTGTAGCCAAGAATGACGCTGGCCAGGCTGAGTGCTCCTGCCAAGTCACCGTGGATGGTAGGTTGTGCCCACCCATTGCCACCACCCATACATAAGGGTCTCATTTCTCAGCCCTTCCCTTGCCTATCCTACCTTGCCTGTCAGACAGAACTGCCCCCAACACTGCCCTCTCTACCCAAAGGCATTCATTTTGATGTCAACCTATCTTTTGCCAAAAGAAAAAGAGCGACAGGAAGGAAAGTGGCAGCTCTACTTGGTCACCTACATGGCCTCTTTCTTCACCCTCTCCCCTGGCCGTCCTGTCCCCCTTCCCAGTCCTGACCCCCACACCCAGAACCTTCTTAGCTGGGAAGCTGGGGCACTGAGCAGGGGAAAAGACACACCCACAGGAAAATGACTACAGAGTATTTTATAAAAGCCACAACAAACAAGTGTCCGAGCTGGCAGGACAGACCCAGCAGGGTCAGCCGTGAGGAGGAGGGAGCACAGTGGGGTCCATATGGGAGACTTCCTTGAGGAGGTAAGTCGGGGCTGAGGCTCTGGGTAGAGAGGACAGGGCAGCCTCTGCCAAAACAAAATGGTAATAATAATAATAATAATATTACACGCTGGGGAGAGAGCAGGCCTTCCAGGTCTCAGTGGAGTTTCTGTGTTAGGAAGAGGCAGTGCCAGGCTGCGAGGAACTGGGCTTTGTCCTAACAAAATGCAGGAAGCACATTCGTGACTCTTTTTTGTCTCCTCCCTGAGGAGTGTAGAATTGGAGCCTGAGAAGTAGGATGAACTGTATGATAGTTTAGGTAAGTACCCTCATTTTACAGATGAGAAACTGAGGGCATCCAGAGAGGAAATGCATTTTCAGGAGGGCTCCCTGGCCCGTTTAGAGCAGAGCCAGGGCCAGAATCCCATCCCAGGACTCACAACCTAGTATCAGTTCTTTGTATTTGGCACTAACCTGGAAATGTCTCAAAAGGTAGTTTGGGGGAAATAGTTTCTTGCCCTTAAAATGCCTGGTTAATAACCATCAGAGACACATCAAAAACTAGTGTCCAAATAAGGCATCTTGAAGCCCAGCTTAGTTGTTCTTCTCTCTCCTGGGTGTGATCACTTGAGTTCTGAAGTCCTAGCCTGTCTCACTCCCACTCCACACCATGTAGAGCCCGTGTCCTCATTCCCAACTTTACAGTCGGTTTCCTCATCACAAAGCTGAGCTCTATGGAACATGATGAATGGGAGAGAGGTGAAAAAGAAGGTCTTTTTTATAAAAACACAATGGCAACATAAATTAATTGTTAATAGCTGAAAGGTAAGCTGAACTCATCTAATATTGTATACTTCTCCTAGAAGATCTGTGTTTATATGTGCTACAGGGGCTCTGAGATTAAGGAAGCAGACTTGTTGGGTCCAAGTTTATGGTCATTTCAGAGGGGACATGGGAGACATGCTTTGAGGTTCTGCACAGGGGATATTGTGGCTGATTACTCCTGTGTGGGAGTCTCTCCTCACCCAGGCTGTCACTCACCAGATCACAGTCCTGCTTCCTTCTGTACAAGTGCTGCACTGTAAAATACAGTGTTTCTGGAAACTTGATCCTTGAAGCCCATCTCTAACACCCCACTGCTCATTTGGAATTCACGCTGATTCCTGAGCCAGCAAAGGAGGTTATCTGCTTTTGGAGCCCCTTTAGATCCTATTTACATGGCTAGCTGAAAGCAGGAGAGCAATTCATTCTCCCTTATCTGTAAAATGTCAGCACCTTTTCCAGATTTGTTTTCAAGATGAAATTTCCTTTTCCCCTACTGAATATACTTGGGGATTCTCTTTTTTACATTTTTTTTTTTAGCGTTTGGGGAATTCATTCTGCAATTTAAAGGGCTCTGTTTGCCCAGAGTCTGCTGGCAGATTTCCTTGCCCTCTCCACTAATCTTGATGACCATGATTATTTATCCCGAATTCCTTCAAACTCAGAGTTTGGCATCTAGAAGCTGGGTCTTAGAAGAAAAGCTGGAAAAGTGATATGAGGGAGCCCAGCTGAGATAACAGGACTGACTCTCAGTCCATTGGGTTTGGTTTTGTTGACAGAAAGGATAAGGGCGGACTCTTCCCCCTGCTCTTCTTTCCCTGTTGCTATATTTGCAGATACGTTAGTGTCCTGTATGCTGGGTAGGCATTGCCCACATTTAGCTTTATTTTATTTTATTTTATTTTCTAATACACTGGGGCAGGGAGCAGGGGGTAGCTTTATTTTTTCATCAAGAGCCTCTCTAGGAAAGTAGTAAAGTACTGTGGCTGCCTTTCTTTCTATCAGCTGGTGCTCCAGCCCACTGGCTAGGCTAGGTCTACTGCCTTCATTCTGTCCCCTCATCCTCTCAGCTCTCCCTACTCCCCATGGCATCATACTTGACTTGGGGATCCCAGTGAGTTTGTGCATCCCTTGAAATGACAAGCAAAATGTGTTTTGTGGGTTGGAGCATCTTTCTGAAGAGAGAGGTCCACAGTTTTTTGTCAAATTCTCAAAAGGAGTCATGAATCAGAATACATTGAAGAACTACTTGTCCTAAGGAGCAACAATGACTGAATTTTCAAGCCCAGCCATTGTGCGGGCTTTTCCAGCCTATCTCCATCTGCAGCTGCCCACCCGATCTCTGCATAGAACCAGCCCTTCGTCCCTGTTATGGGGCAGTAAGGTCCTCCACTAGGCGTGGGGACCACAGCTGGTGCTGACTTGCGACTGGCTTCCCCAGCCACTCAGCAGTGCTGGCCTGGCCCCTGAACGTCACTATTACTTATTCTGTGCCAGATGAGTGGCCATCAAGACCATACATCTGAGGCCAACATATCTTTGAAAACCTCATAAAAATGAGGCAAATGGGGCTCACTGGCTGGTCTGCATTACCCACGCTACTCATTCCCTCCTATCGTAAAGATAAGGGATGTAACCTTTATAATGCAGCACAGCTGGCTATTTTAATCATGTGTTTGGGTCTTTTTCCTAAGAAAAAGGGTGTTTATGTACTTTCTTGATTATGGTCATATCATCCTTCCTTCCGAGCTCAGCAGAAGGCAAGGGCTAACTTGTGCCACATAGAAGGGAGTGAAAACCTAGAGTAAACACGGACTTGCCAGAAAACTTGCCCAGGAGGAGAACAAGCTGACCTTCAGTGCCTGCACTGGCCAGAGACTCTTGTGCACTTTGCATTTTCAGTTTATGTAACAGTTGGGAAGAGTGTCTTTCCCAGTGAGCAAACTAAGGCTCACCAAGGGTCAGCTGCCTTCCAGGCCCATGGACAGTAGGCATAGATCCAGGGCTCCATCCTGCACAGTGAATTACAACATGAAATATCCTGGCAGAACTCTGTGGTTTGGCCCAGAAACCTGCCCCTTTCCACAGCCTGACATGGCCTCCCTGTGCAGTGAATTACCACACGGGGCCCCCTCTCAGAGTGATCCAGACCTCCTTGTGTAACAGCCTTTCCTGCAGGGAAGTTCTTCAGCACATGGGACTGAATAGTCCCTTTCCTCTCATTCTCACCCAGATGAGCAGTGAGGAAACAAAGTCCTTCTTAGGCCAGAATCCCATGAGAGGAGTCAGGCAATGCCTTATCCCCTCACTGGCTCATCCAGTCATTCCCAACTCAGGGCTCCTGTCCCCAGCCACCCTGGCCAGGGAACCCAGCTTTTGGTACCAGTGAGACCAGGGTTTTGTGACCACGGAGGGTCATGCATGATTGTGATAGGTAGGGACACTCCAGTGGGTACTCATGCCATCACTCAGTCATTCAACAAATATCTGAGTGCCTACTCTGTGCCAGGCACTGCTGTAGGAACTGGTTTTAAAACAGTAAATGAAGTAGGAAAAATTCCAGTTTTGGGGACTTTTCTAGTGGGAGAGAGGCAGTAAGGCAGGTGAACAGCTGTGTCATATCCTCAGGTAATGTCACAAGCTATGGAGAAAGCAAAGCAGGGTAATGGGGGAGGGAATGCCATTTTTGGAGGAGGGTGGTCGCTGAGTCCTCTCTGAGGAAGGACCATTTGAACAGAGACCGAAGGAAGCCCGGGAAGGAAGAAGGAGGAGGTGACAGCCTGGTATAGCTGTGAGCTGAGGAGACTGTGCTTGGGGCATTCCAGGATGAGTCAGGAGGCCAGAGTGGTGGAGCCATGAGCAAGGGTGCAGGATGGTAGGACGTGAGATTGAGGAGAACTGTAGACCAGATGCAGGCAGTGTTGGCTATTACAAAAAAAAATAAGATTTTATTCTAAGCTTGAGAGACCAACACTGGACATTTGTGAAGGATCACTCATGTCCAGGTGAGGACTAGACCCAGGATGAGTCAGAGGGAGAGAATGGAGAGGGGGTTGACACGATAGGAACTGGAAGTGATCAGATTCATAACCTCTTTGACTGTAGAGCTGATAGGAGTTGCTGATGAGCTGGGTGTGTAGAGAGAAGTCAAAGATGACTCTTAGTTTTCATGGGGGAGTGAAGATCAATGGTGGGGGATGGGGGCACGATCAAGAGTTTAGTGCATGTGAAGTTTAAGATGCCCATTTGACCTCTCAAGTGGTCCTATCACATAGGCAGGTGTTTAGATGAATCTGGAGTTAAGGGGGTTGGAGACAGGATACGGGAAGCCATCCACACATGGAGGTCATTCACTGCTCTGGGGTTGAATGAGGTCCTGAGGAAAGTGGAGATAGGAAGAGGGAGAGGAGGGGAAGGACAGGGGCCTGCAAAGGAGACTAAGAAGAAAGTATTGCAGTGAGATGGGAAGAACCCAGAAGATGGGGGTGCCCCAGAAACCAAATGATAAGAACTTCAAAAAGGAAGGAATGATCAACGTATCAGGCCGGGCATGGTGGCTCATGCCTATAATATTAACACTTTGAGAGGCTAAGGCAGGTGAATTGCTTGAGCCAGGAGCTTGATACCAGCCTGGGAAACATGTTGAAACCCTATCTCTACAAAAAATACAAAAGTTGGCTGGAGGCTGTGGGGCCTGCCCGTAGTCCCAGCTACTTGGGAGGCTGAGGCAGGAGAATCGCTTGAACCCAGGGGGCGGAGGTGGCAGTGAGCTGAGATTGCACCATTGCACTCCAGCCTGGGTGACAGAGCAAGACTCCTTCTCAAAGAAAAGGAAAAAGAAAAGAAACAAAGATGAATGTGTCAAGTGCTACTGCCAAATAAAGATGAGCCTGAGAATTGGCCATTGGGTTTGGCAACATGGAGGTCACTGGCAACCTTGCCAGAGGGCTTCAGGGGAGTGACAGCAACAACAGCCTCATCTCAGGCATACAGAGACTGAGTCACCTGCTTGAGGTCACCCTAACTAGCAGAGTGGGAAGTTAAACCCAAGCCTCGGCTCCTAACCACTGTGGTCCGTTTTTACCTTGGCCCCTGGGAACTTCTGATTGTTGCTGAGCTGATTTTGACCTACCTGTCCTCTGTTGGTCTTGGCCCTGCCATATTACTAAGTCTGCTCCCACCCCCACATTTATTCTTTAAATCATCACAGACAACTGACAGGTGTTATGTGGAACTAAATAAAATTGTTGTTTTTGTAGGTCAAAAACACTTCAATACTGGCAAATGGTATAATTCAACCTTATCTGAGCATACAAAGCACTTAGCACAGTGCATACATGGAGTCAGTACCCAGTAAATGTCAGCCATCACCTTATGACTTGGTCACTCCTCCCTCACTCTGCTATTGAGGTGGTGGTATTTCTGTTTTCCTCGTGAGGAAGTTCAGACTCAGAAGAGTTCAGGAACTTGCCCAGGACTCACAGCTCCTAAGCAGCAGAGCCAGAAAGGAGCTCAGGCATCTTGATCTCTCTTTTTACTATGCTAGCATGCTGCTTGCATTCAGGCAGACAGAGAGGCCAGCAAGGAGGGGTGAGCCAACCCAGGGAGAGGCTGGAGCCCAGGCCCTCTGCCCTGCCCCGTCAGGGAGCTCTAGAAGCTGGACCCCTCCCAGAAGCTTCCCAAGACCTCACGTTCCCTGCCTGGGGTCAGAGTGCAGGCAACCAACCTCTTGGGGAAGACAAAAAAAAAAAAAAAAAAAAAAAAAAAAAAAA